CTGTGTAAACTTCAAATATCTGCTCGATTTATCAAGACATCACATATTTGCAAAAGTGCTCTAACGTTTTTTAAAAAATAAATTTCTGCTCAAAATGCAACACTTGCATCTGCAATTTATTTTTACATGCGCTCAGAATAGTGGCACAAAAATAACGCCATACAAAACAACACCAGAGCTGATTTACATGGCGTTTCCATGGTTGGTATTTGCGACTCATAAATCTGGTAAAGTTGACTAACTCGTATGTCACTGGTGTTGGAAACTTAGCTAACATTAATTGTTTTAATATAGCTTCATGAGTCAAACTTTTATAACTGAAAAGCATGTCCCAGCTATCTTCTTGAAATTCTTCCGCTGTGGCATTTTCAAGCATTTGATATTTTATTTTGAAATTAGTCACTACACATATATAATCTGTAAGGATTTGTAAGTGTTTGAAAAGCTTACTAACTTCTAAAATCTATATAGATAAAATCTGTTAATCCTGGTGCCAGTTTATATTATAAGCTTATTGCAGATTGATTAACATATATAGGATGAGTGAGGGAAGGACATGTTTTCAATATAACTTTGCTAGGAAGTTAAGAAGAAAGAAATAACCCATCTTTCTATTTCATATTAAAATCCTAAAAAATGTAAGTTCATTAAAAGCAATGTCCAATAGAGTAACCTGGAATTTACCTGCTAACCCCGTTGTCCATTAACTACTGAAATATTCTTCCTCTTGGTTTTTGACATGTGATTTACCTTCACAGGTTACACCCGATTGCCACTTTGGGTTCTCCCTCAGACTATTTTCCACTTCCTCTCTCACTCCATCACTGCTTCCCAGGCCATAAGAGAGCAAAACCTAATTAGACAATTCTGCCTTAAAATAATCAGAAGTACTTTTATACATGGTTTGCTGCTTAAATATGCAGGGGCTGGGTGTACTACTGCAAACCATGGCCCTGTGGAGGCATGGAGTTCCTCGTTAGTGTTTCAGAAGACAATCTGCCAGAGCAGGGTTGCATGGTGATGACATCATCCATGCATCAAATGTAAAAGCCTGGCATAAAGATGGCTCTGATAAAAACATGCTTCAGCCACAGTAAGGCCGTCTGTATGGCACCATTATTCTCTTTTGAATTAACAAAGTGTTCATCGTCTTCACTAGATGTGTGAAGTCAGCCGGATGTCCTGTGCATGCTTTACACTTTAACCATGAGTCTGATTTGACATTTCTGTGCATGTAGTGAAAATTAAGGATTTTGTATCTGACAAACACTAGAAAAATCAGGGAAGTGGTTGGCACTGTGGTGAACGTGCCTGACTTGAGTATAACTCATTTAAGTATACACTATACGTAGGATATAAATTGCAACAGAATAACCAGATAGTTTTTCTACATGACACCATTAAGCCTCATTGCCATGGCATAAATCACCTTACTCAACTTTCCTCTCTTTTGTTACAGTTTACCTTTTATTGTTGTGTTCCACAAGTGTAAAAACTATATATGTATGTCATGTTAGTCATATCTTACTGTATGGGGGTTGTAAATTGCACTGACTCTGTAAATACTGCACATAATGAAGAAAATGTTGCATAGTACATCTTATATAATTCACTTTGGTTACTTTAGTGGTCTATTTTAGTGAAAGTAGACCTTGCACTATATAGGGACATAGAGTAGACAGAATTTTAATTGCATTAATCTTGCTTAATTAACCTAATTTCTGCTCTGCTTTAAAAGGTTTGGTAGCAGTTCAAAAACATCTAAATATTCATTTTTTATGAGGATCTTTTGAAAATGACAGCTCACACTGAGTTTGATTTATCCCCAAATTGCTGCATTCATTATTAATTACCAGAAATTATTAAGAAGTTTGTAACTCACTTTAATTGGCAGGACAAATCTACATTTTGTACATATCTGTAAAAATTACCAAAAATATTTAGCACCATGACCTGTTAATAATAATTCTACACATGACAGAGAGCCAAAGATTGCACAAAAAGCATCAAAAAGCATCATGCCACAAACTTTGATATTCTTCAAAGAAAAACAAATGTTGCAAATGTTCTGGACTTTTTTTCCCCGTGCATGTTACCAGCATTAAAGCTGAGTTTTAAATGAATT